TGCTTCAGGAATACTCAAAATACGGTCACTAACGTCACAGGAGTGGATCACCACATAAGTGCCAGCAACGCATGGCCCAGTTGCATATGGGGTCGCAAAAATTTCATTTCGGGAGAGTATAAGCACCGTACTGATCCACTAACACTGTCTACCCTAGCAATGAGATCATGCGCCGCTACATTTTGCAGTCGAGGAACCAAGATCATGCGCAGAAGCACTACCAATTCATGTTACTCGGGACATTAATAATACAATTCTAGCAAGAGTACATATTTTTCTTGTAAAAACAACAAGCATGTAAAGACTATAGGCAAAACAGTGGCCTTCAGAAAAGCCGCCTGTCGGCTATATATTTTTAAGTTAACAGTTGGGACCGACATACACGGTCCAAATGGCTTTCTTACTTTATACACACCACTCACCGAGACTCCCTGGCCAACGCCAACCCTAACAGAATCCGGAAGCACAAACTGGGACACGTCTCAGAACGTTACACTCAGGGCAATGACGTAAAGTACGTAAATAACATGGCTCTGCAGTGGCAGCAGACCATAACTCCTTTGGTGATTCGCGCAAGCCAGCAATCCAATGTAGCCGCAGCCGCCAGCCGGTCGCTCATCGGCACGACATCTTCAAGGTTGTGGTTCGTGCTGGGGCGTGGCAGGAGAATCTGGTGCTATGGTGAAATGCACTCCTCTTCCTTGCCCAGACTGAAGGATGAATGCCACCTCAGTTGCTGCCAACGCAGCTGCCTCCTGAACATAAGTACCGTACAAAACAGCGAGCAAGTTAGTGGTTACATAGGCTCAAGTGCAAATTTTGACAAGGAACACATCAAATAAGAAAGACAAGATTTGGTAACTCAACTTCAAACAACTCATATAGGATAACAAAGCAGATCTAACTGAATTCAGAGCTCAAGGAACATGGCAATGCAGCCTTATAAGGTGTTCCAAACAAATGCAGAAGCAGCAAAGAAAAGAAAGATGCATATGATGGCGGTGATGTACTAACCTGTCGATGTCTGCGACGCTGCAATATACTAATTGCCCAAGCCATTATATAGAATGGGAGAAGAAAACCAGCCGCACGCAGTAAGAAAAGCTGCCAAACAATGAGCCACAGATATGAATACTGATGATAATGTGCGGAGAGATGGTGCCTCTGGCATATCTTAAAAGAGTATTCCGCTTACTGAAAACATTGCTGAAGTGTCATCATCGTCTTCATCAGTTAGAGTCAATGCATGCCTCAGTAGTAGGAGAGCCATTAACTGAACACAGGGGAAAACATAAATAAGTAGGCAACAAACATGCTATTACATGTTCAATAAAGGTAAATAAATCTGCAGACTGCAGTGCAGGAACTCACGACAAGAGCAGCAGATCGGCAAAAGGCAGCAGTGCTGGCATTCGTGGCTGAATAATCATCATATTCAGCTTCCATAATGTGGTTTTGTGCTACTGCCAGGATCCTAGGATCACGCAAGTCAAATGCTGTACCAGTAATGGTCCAGCCACCACTGCACACACCAAAAAAGGAGTAAATAACAATTGAATACTACTCCCTCCGATCCAAAATAAGTGTCGTGGTTTTAGTTCAAATTTGTACTAAAACCACGAAACTTATTTTCGATCAGAGGGAGTATATATAAACATGACACCAGACATACAGAATAAAATAACTTATGAAGTATAATCAAGTATCTATGTCTTGAATGCTACAAAATTATGCCATGCCTTATATCGATGGTAGTTTCGTCAGGATGGGGTCTGGGAGGTGCAGTGTACCCATGTTCATACGGCTGCAGTAAGGTAATTTCCAACATCAGTTCAGAGTCGTATCTGGTGGGACGGGCATACTTTATAGAACATCTAAAAATAAATTCACCTCATGGCAGATTTCACATGTGACATCTCCTTTCTCATTGCACCATCTTTGTACACAAGCCCTATGCGCATACTGCACAAAATAAAATATGTGAGAACATTATCCATACACTTTACCTAGGGAGAGACCCAAATTTCATATAAAAAGATGAAGAAAATTAGCTTCATAAACATATTGGACAAGCATGGCAACAACCCAACAAGAATCAACTTGGAGATCTATTAGTTAAGGGCATAAGGACTGGCGTGGACACAGATGGAACAGAGAGAAAGCTTGATTCCATTTTTCAGGTACAAATATAAGAAAAATGTATGATTTGCTGGGAGGGAGATCACAAAGAATAGAGCACTACTAAGTAGAAACATCCAATCTCGTTCAGGTTTCAAAGAATCGTGACATATCAATCCAGGATGAATCACATTTGCAAATTGCCTATTGTCTATCTTAAATGGTCCATACGCACGTCAAATGAATATGCTCCAAAGCATGATGATTAGAGAACACCAAGAGGAATCTTCAACAAAATATGGACGCCAAGAGAACTATGCCATGAAGGATAAACAGTACAACAATATAACTACGCAATGAACTAAGCTCTGAGATAGGAAAATCAATGATTTTTTAGTCAGTTCTTGTTTAACAAGATATACTTAGTACCTGCTAAGTTGATAAAGCTGCAAACAATGAGATAACTGAAATATTATGAGAATTATGCTGCTTGTGGTGGTAACATGAGCACAGTATTTTGGAGTTTTTTTTTCCAAATGTCTTTGGAAAGTTAATCAAATCAGTGTCCCAAGTAATAGCCGACATTTGAAGGATAGTGTTGACCCCTAATCAAACAAATAAGAAGGCCAGATTGACTAACAGAGAACCACATAGTATAAACTACCAAACAAATGCTCTAAGGAGCATACCAAATAGATATATAGGTAAACACTGGTGCGACAAGTTAATCTTGTCAAATCACATATGCTTCCAGATAAATTGATCAAGTGCGAATTAATAACAATAAAAACTTCAAGTAACAAAAACCAGAGTTTATTGAATGATGTGAACCTTTACACTGCCGGTGCAAGCACAGGGGCTCTCCAGGTTCTTAATGTCATCTTCCTCCTGACAAATACGGCACTCCGTAATCTGCAGAAGAGGTTCTTCTTCAGGAACCATGCTGTCTCCAACTGCAAAAAAGGAATGCCCTGTAATGGGCAGTGCAGTGGTGTCCCTCGATGAGGAGCTCTTGGGTGCTCCAGTGATCTCAATGGGTTCAGGCACCATTAGGCGATCAACATTCAGCATTAGATGATCCTTCACCATTTCTACTAAGTAACAAATTTTCAAACAAAAGAACTCTTTTAAAGATCCTGTTAGATCTGCTCAGAGTCCGGAATCTGATTGCTAAATAAATCTTAGCGTCCTGGTAGGAAGAGGAAAAAAAAGGAGTCAACAAATGACATGATTTCTTATAAAAACACTCACGAAAGAATAGGCACGTAACAGCTGAAAACCTACAATTCAACAATTATGAAGCGGATGAAGAAATTTTCCTATTTCCACAATGAGGGACCAGCGTCCTTGGTGAGAGATAAGAGGCACCAAATATTAGAGGTCCACCTTTCTGCACGAAAGTTATGCTTTCAGTAACAACAGGAACTATTAACTTACAACGAGACTCAAAATGAAGCAATCGGCGAGTTCATAAATAATGTTTCTACTTTCCACAAACACTCTAAACCGCTTACTATATGTAAAACAACTTTGCTCTCCAAATAGCAGTGTCCATCCCAACCTTCTCTAGAAATACACATGTTTTCAAAAAGACTGGAAGACTAAACTTTGATAGTTTTCGTCAAGCTGGCCTCGCATATACTCCCTCCGTAAACTAATATAAGAGCGTTTAGATCACTATTTTAGTGTTCTAAACACTCTTATATTAGTTTACAGAGGGAGTAAATCATAGGCAGTGGAAACCAATATAGTAAAATAATGGATACTAGCAAAAGAAATTTAAAGCATAGCATTTCTATCCTCCCAAATTCTAATCACAGAACGACATTCCCAGCACAACAATTGTACAAATGTATCATATGCACCGCTTGTGCCAATAAAAACCAGCCTGAAGCCTATCAAATTACTATGGCTAAAAACTGATGAAAATGCTGTTTCACCCAATCTGGGTTGATGAGAACTTAAGGATGCTCCCACCATCGTCCTCAATTTTAGAGTATGCAGGACGAGGGATGTAAAGACTAACACGCCAATAATCATGTCTCCCTAAGGAAACACTATCTAATACAGTAATACTCATCTATACCAACTGCATAGAGCAGGAGCGCGTCCCCCCAAAAAAATTGCAGCGGTTGAATCAGTTTCCTCGCACTCCTTTTGCCCTTTAGACAGCGAAATGTCGCCTAAACCATCAAACCCAAGCACGGATTCGAGCGAAACGAAGCGCACCGACAGACTCCGAATCCCCAATCGCGGAGCCCCAGCGCCACAATCGACCACTATCGCATCGAATTCGCCGAAACCTCCGCCCGAATTCAACGAAATGCCCACGCCGACGACCGATCCCGGGCAAATTAACGCGGCTGCGGAGAGACCGCAGGACC